TCTGATATTGGGATAAATTCGAACTGCAACTCCGTCTGCCAAATCTATCAACAGTACCTATTCGTTGACGTTCACAAAACAATTCAAGTTAGGCCGTTGTCAATTCGTCAATGCGATTGGTAATCTTTGTAAATAAACTTATAGTCAAACGAGTGCCAATTAAACTAAGACGATTATTGTAAATTTTCTTGATTTTCGTCATTTAACCTACGTAACATATAGGATCTTTTTTTTTAACAATCTATTTTCGCGCTGGTCAAGTCTCTCATTTGAAATGTTTAAGATTTTCATTCCTAATTTGCTTTTAATCGCTTTCCTTTTTCAGTCTCGGTTTCAGTTTGACACCGTTTTCTCATACGAGCAGTGTATTTGTCAGGTCTAGCCATGTTTTGTAATACCTCATTATTAAAATTAAATCACTAAAAATAAAAAGCTTTTTAACAACAACAAACCGAATTCAAAAAACTATTCGCACTAAAAAATAAAAAAAAACCTAAATCTAATAAATCAAATCTAGTAAATCTATCCTATATAACCTAACCTACCTAACATATAACAAAATTTAACAATTTTTCGAGCTGGTGCCATTGTTAACAATGGGTAATGGATGTACACTACATCTTACTGAAAGAAAACGGAAAGACGCTAAGCAACAATGAATACTACGGTTATATAATAAATAAGTTAAAAGATAGTTATATTATTTATTTATTTATAATTAATTTGTAATCCTTTATCAAATATTATTTTACATTAAATCGTTTTTAAGATCCTCCGCTGCGCAACCCGTTATTCGTATTTAAATATTAATACAAAGATATTATTATAATAGTCAGTTGACATTCCAAGTACCTATTAGACAATAGTAAGTTATTCAAGAAAAACAAGAAAATTGACGGTATATATACTAGAAAAGTGACAAAGAATAAATATTTGTAACCAAACATGGAAAAAACTTAAAACCTATAAATATATAACTAAGAAACTCCAGAAATTGTTAAATTTTTTTAGTTAGTTTGATATTTTATGAAAATAAGCAATTAATGAGACAAATTGAATAAAGTTCCTATAGTGAATTTGAACAAACAATATAAAACTGAGTCTATTGCAAAATCGCCCACTTACTAACAATGCATGTTGTATCTTTGAATTATAGGTAAAAAGACAATGAACAGTTACAAATATTTTGATAATCATCCTCTAATACCAAATAACAAAACACTGCTGCATTACGCAAAGAAAGAAAATATATATTGAATTTATTTGAAACCGACACACAGAAAAATAAAGCCCTCGTTTTTAGAGAAGCAGCTTTTTCAAAGCAATGTTGTTTTGCCTTCGGCCTTTCATCTACCCACATAAACATAACAAAAGTTTGATATCAAAGGCAGTTAGCATTATTCTAATATAATCTTAACAAAAGGATAATATTTTTCTTCAATTAAACTATTTCGTACTATTAAGTAGATACTGAATGAAATTACAAAGTAAAAGTGATGAAAATATAACGCAAATACAGATATCATGTATGAAGATTGTTTTATTAATACTTATGAAAATATTGAAACCTAAAGCACAATTTGATAAGTGCCAAAAACAAATTACATTTTGTTATTTTAAAAAAGGAAAGATAGGAAAATCAGAAAAATTTTAGAAAAAAAAACGATAAATATGAAAAAAAAAAAACGAAATTTTACTTAATAAATAAAAAAAATCAGCCAATGCCTAAAAGCTAAAGAGATTTCAGATCAAGTACGATCGGCTAAAGGAATTTCCGGTCTAGCGTAATCAGCTATAGGTATTTCTCGTCTAGCGTAATCAGGTAAAGGCATTTCCGATCTAGCTTAACCAGCTATAGGGATTTCCAGTCTAGCATAATCTGCTACAGGGATTAACATCCAGCCTAGCGTAATCAACTAAAGGGATTGTCATCCAGTCTACCATAATCAGCTAAAGGAATTTCCATTAGGTATAGCAGAATCAGCTAAACGGATTTTCATGCGGTCTAGCATGTTTCTGCAATTTGCACGGTTTAACCGAACCAGATGATATCGAAAACATGAGTTTTTGCGGAGCTTATGTGCCCCGGTCCAGATTTCATGAAGTATCATTTATTTATTTGGCGCGGTTACAAAATACAAATTATAAAATTAAGTAAATTATAATAGACCAACTAACATAATATTACTAAACTTTCATTTCAATAACAACCCAACACGTTCAATTTGAATATGGTATTTCAATAAAGTATATTATAACTAATACTTACTAATTTACTTATAAGAAGCAGACCAATATTTTCAGAGGACTTAATAGTTTTTTAAAATGATGCCAAGTTTTGATGAAATATTTATGTTTCTACAGAAAATATTGTACTGTCTACACATTCGAATTTAGAAGTGTTATGAGATTGTATATATATATATATATATATATATATATATTCCGAGTTAGCGGTATCTATATAAAAAGATGCTGTCTACGATTACATTTAGGTGAACATCTCAATGAACCATGGCACAGGACGTCAGAATTAAGGGTGTGAATAAGTATTTTATGCAATGTTAAGAGGTTACTAAGTCGTCGTCATATAAGAATCCACCTATTATGTCATCCAGGTTAAACCTTAGAAGTCTGGCATTTTATGTAAGCAGAATTTTCCCACACCTAGCTTAAAACTAAGGCTGCTAATAAACCATTATTGTATTCATCAAGTTTATTTATATGATGTATATTGTTTATATGATGTCAATTAAGATTTCTTTTCTTAGAAAATTTGATGACATGACATTTACTGATGTTTAGTTAGATTTTATTTTTAGCGCACCATTCTGAATTTAGAGCAGCAGATTGAATGCTATTGAATAGTTTTATGTCATGTGAGCTTGCTATATTTTTATATTTGCGATAGAAACGCTCTTTTTCCTTGATTATTTTAATTAAGGATGGACTAAACCAAGTACTGGCGAAGCTATAGTAGGGTCAGGGGGCGCTGTGCACCAGGGCCCCGAATCTCAGAGGGCCCCCTAAGCGTTGAAAAGAAAGGAGCTCCCGCTCTAGCCAACCTCGAGTATGCTGACAAGATTTTTTTTAATGACGTTAAATGAACATGAACAATTACACATACTTTTTACCTGATATTAAGTGAATACCGCCGCCCATGGACATCTGCTACACCCGAGGGTTGCAGATGCGTTGACAACCCTTTGAAAATTGGGCTCCGGCCACCTCGATCCCCAGACGAAACGCGAAAATATTATACTTCCACTTTACGCCGGTCTTCTGTGAGTTCGTGGTACTTACCCGGACTAGCCTGCCCGTTCGTGCAACAGCCAAAGCTGCTGCGTGGCCCTACCACCGTAATATCTTTCAGTAACCTGAGGATTATGACGAACTCAGACCAAACAGCATTGAACAAGATCCCCATCCACCTTTAACATTAATTGCATTAGAAAACAAGGCGGCATTAAACTTGGATTTGCGTGGTTATAGATGAATTTGCAAAAATTAAAGAGATTGTGAAATTGATTGGGCATTTTTGAATTTTTTTTCCGTCTAATCATCTCATCTTTTGCAGTGCTTATCTTAAAAAGCTTACATTAAAATTTGCAGAAAAATAGACGAAAAGTTTCTCACGTTTTCTGGAAACGCGCCCAAACGCTAAGCTAAACGACTGATTGCCAAACTGATGAAAATCTCAACGTAAACAAAAGAAAATAGGATTAAAAGTTTGTCGCCGCTGCGAAATTGACCTCGCGTCTTCCGGATTTCTTTTCTCTACAAATTAATGTCTGTCTAATAAACATCTCATTTATTGTCCAGATGCATCGTGTTTATTCATTCCCATTTTCCTTCATTAAACACAAAGGGATTCTTCCGCTTAAAAAAACAATGTATAGACTTATTCTAGTAGGAATAAGTCCAAGTCAATACATTCTTTTCCTATCGCTATCTATAAGTTTGAAGGTCAATTGGTTATTATAAGTTCAAGCTACGTAGAAAGAGGAATTGGGGGGGCGCTTTTTTCTCTATGCACCGGGGCCCTTGTCCACCTAGCTACGCCTGTTGTTTTTACGTTACGTTGTTTTCAACCGACTTTAAAAACATCCTCCGTTCTCAATTCGGCTGTATTTTTTTATGTTTGTTACCTCAGAACTTTCGACTGGGGAAACCGATTTTGATGATTCTTTTTTATTTGAAAGCTGGTGCTTCCCATATGGTCCCATATTAATTTCATTGGTATTGGATCTTGGGCTCCGGAGATACATGGGGAACCCTTAAAAATCCTTGCTAATATTATAAAGGCGAAAGTTTGTATGTATGGATGGATGTTTGTTACTCTTTCACTCAAATACTACTGAATTGATTCTAATGAAACTTTCAATAATATAGCTTATACATCAGAATAAGACAAAGGCTACAATTTATATACATATTTTTATGTATATATGTCTTTCTGTCTGAATGTTACGCCTTCGGCACATTCTACGCAGACATAGTCGCGGGCAGCAGCTAGTCGATTATAAAATGAATACAGTGAGATATTTAAAATCGGTTTTGTTCTTCGTGACTGAAAAAAATTGACTTGTTACCTATGTTCGTCTCCAGTTTTTACGTAACAAATGACTAAACTACTTAGAAAACAAAAATATGATTGATTAAAAAACTCAAGAGTTATAACATGTATTACTATTTTTTTTATTTATATATTTTTGGTCACTCACTCGTTTTAAAATTATTTTGAAAGTCGTGCAGAACATTCGCACAAGCGTTATTACAATCCAAACTGTTTTCTAAAGTATCCCAATGCGTATATTATCAATATGAACAATATATTAATAGTATATAATTATATGCTCACTACAAATTACAAAACTGTACATGTTTTTAAACAAGACAAAGCTGTTAGAACTTCACAGTATTGTTAATTCAGTCTAATTCTTCGAGAAATCTTTTGGTATCCTGAATATACACGTTTTTTCAACAATTATGTACTATCACACTATTTTTTCCAAACTCAATTTTCTTTGTCGCTGGCCAAAGGGTAGTTGCAGCATTCCACGAGGCTTCGTCTGTGTTTTGCTACTTATCACAATCTCCGAAGTCACCAATTGATCTATAGTCTGTGAAAACAAATCGTCGTAAGTATTTAGGTCAACTCATAGCGGGTTGTGCTGGGGGTTCAGAACCCGCACGGAACAAAACATTGTGTTCTCTGCAAAACCTTGTTCCGTGAATCAATGATTTTGATTTCATATATGTGAATTACTTCGTAACGCGGAGTGGTCTATAGAGAATAATACAAAAAAAAACATATTAGTGCATATCATTTCACCTGATCATTTATAAGATCTCGGTCTCTGAGTGCCTTCTCAATATTTTCAAATTCCTTCTGCAAATCTTTGTTTTCTGTTTTCTCTACAATAGAACGAATCTTGGATATCTGAAACAATATTAGTGAGTAATTTATTATAAATGTACATACAAAGTAAATAACTAGTATCATGTATCTTGTATTAACTGATGTTTTTGCTTTCAGTCCCGAGACTATTAAATCTTCATCTGACGCAGAACCGGTGGGCTAGCCAGAACCCCCGGGTTTGGGCCCTCCGCTGTGGGTAGCGCCGCGCATGTGCTTATGCCCAATAACTAGTTCAATAGAATAGGAGAAGCGTAAGAAGACTTGTAAAGTAAAAACATACCCAATTGATGACGTCATGTGTTCTGCCGATTCATTTTCTATATCAGTTTTATTGCGGTGCGTGTTAAGAAGTTTCACTTCAAAAAGAGCATTAATCTATCGAAAATAGGTATGCGGATAGCCTCTTTAATGTCATAGTGGATAGTATACAAAATGTTGTGTTATTTAGCATAAGGCTACTTAGTAAAATATATGTATGTTATTAGGAGTGAAAGGTATGAATTAAAATTGTAAGAGCTGACATAATCTAGACCCGGGGCGCGCCGTCTATATATTCGAATACATGCCGATATTGCTAGTCAGAAATCATATCTTAAATTTAAGTTTAAATTACATATTGCATGTTGCTAAATAAAATACTGCAAATATATGTTTTAATGCTGCCATCACTGTACATAATCGAGAACATCATGTATGTACGTAATAATATCCACCTTTTTGCTCTGCACTTGCAAGTGCCCTGGCTGCTGCTAATTTTATACTTAAATAAGTGTATCTTTGAAAAAAAAAAGAGATTACAAGACCATAGAGCTACTTGCCAGTTCTTATCTGGTGAGGTCTAGTTTAGGAATCCAGTGAGTTTTTTTTTTTGACATTCAATACAAGCTTAAGTTAAGCCTATATTGAATAAAGAAATCACTCCATGTTGAATAAATAAATTAATGATTCAAAATGGTTTGGCACTCCAATAATACTAGTTAAGCTTACTGTCTCTTCAAAAAACGTGTGTTTGCCGTTTTGATCAGGGCTATCGCTTTCCAAAACGCCTCTTAATACTGGTAACGCGTCGTCCACTCTGCCCATTTCTGCCAATGCAACGGCCTGTAATTGTGGTTAAACAAGTTGTTAGGAGAAGAATAAATTTATTATAGTTTTCTTTGTTAATTGTCAATTATATTGATTTATTCTCAATGTTTAATTCGTTCAGTCGCAAAAGACCTTAAGACATTTCCCATTGCAATTATCTGTCCGGAAACTAGATATTGAAATGCTTGTAAGGACCCCAAAAACATAATGTTATATGAAACATAAGCCATAAAATTATTACAAAACTACAATATTATTTGGATTTTGATATTACATTGGGTTTTTTTTGAATAAAGGAATTTTAAACCAAAAATTAAAATGTGCTTCTTTTGTACATGATTAAAGACCACTCTGGCAGAGATGGAATAAAATAAATTAATTGCTTACCTTAATATTTCTTATTGTTACATAATGTTGTTTTTGCATGGATATAGACTCCAATGCAATGTGTGGGGCACCCTGATTTAAAGCAAGCGCTATAAAGAAATAAATTATTTTATAGTCATTAGTCAATAGAAATTAAGTATTAAAAAACTGTACAAGTACCAGCAAATAAGGTGGAAGCTCTTCTTAAAGGTACAGTTCCAACATTTGCCATATCCGTCCATATTTTAGAAGCATACTCTAAACTCTCTTTTGTGTTCTGTAAAGCAAAATATCATTTTTAATATGCAGCTAAATACAGAATAATTATATACACAAATATTAATAAAAAACTGATATCAACTAATAACTGATAGTCTTCACATTTGCATAATTTTCAAACCTTACACAGTCTTTTTGTATAGTCCAAATATTATGTAGATGTTTATTGAAACATGTCAAATTCAAAAATCATAATAACTTACTTGTTTGTAACAAGCTGCTAAAATTAAAGTAAGTGGATATTTGGGGAACTTGGTCATATTCAATTGTTTCTCTTGTACTTTATCAAATACACCATACATCTCTTCATACATTTCATGAATGTAAAGTAAGTCAAGCAATATTTGATATGAAATTAGTTGATCAAAAAATCCTTTATTATCTGGATCTTCAAAACACTGAAAGAAATAACTATGTTAAAAATATAGAAAAATAAATAAATTATAAAATTAAAACCAGTTTTTTTTTTTCTATCCTCAACATACACCATGCATGCAAGACTTATACATATTTTCTATAATTTTAAAGAAAACTTGTACAGTTAAAAGAGACCAAATTAAGAAATACTTTATTCAAAAATAAATTATATTAAGATATGACTATTTTCTTTTTAATAATTTCTTCAAATGTCTGTTATAAGATACAAGATAACAATCACCTTCAATGCTTCATTTGGTGCATCTAAAAAGTAAAACATTCTCATGACAACTGGACCAAATATGAATGAACCAAATCTAAATTCAGTATTCTGGGTATTGAACCTGAAAAAAATATGAATCAAATTTATGTAAATATACATTAACACCTAACAGATGTAATCAGTCCTAAAACTGCACACACCTTAGTAAAGTACTTTATATATTAGAGATCACTCCCATGAAACTTCTTAAAAGAATCCTAATGTCAGTTAGTTTTGAAAACCATTAAGATGAAACTTTAAATTTTGTAGAACTGCGGAAGAAAAGATATTCACTGGTCCACGAATCTAACCCACATCTTCCAGATTCATGCCACTTTCATATTCTTACGGAAACCAAAACTACCCAACCATTATGAATAGAATATTAATATACTAAAGATTCAAAAGGATATCTTACTTTTTAACCATATTTAGCACAAGATCCAGATCTTGAGGTTCAGCCATGTGCACCATGTTTTTTAAATCTTCTGTGAAAATCATGTTTTTTGGTTGTAATACAAAATCAGTCATCTTAGCTTTGAATGTTTCTGTAAAATTTGAAAATTGCTCCTTGGTTCTTTTACGTGTCTGCAGATAACCATCAATACCAAGGGCCGATGATGAGTAAAGATTAAGCGCTGTAAAATATAAAACTACAAATTAAAATAAAAACTTTTTCATAAAACTTTATAAATTCTGCATGATAAATATCGTACTTCGCGCAACATGAATAAATCTATTAGGCATGTAGTAGCGAATATTATATAACTGCGAATTTTTAACTGTATTTACAAACATTGTGATTTTAAGGATAACTAAATAACCTTAATACAGAAAAATTGTTATAGGCTTTTTTTTAAATAAGTGATTTAAGGTTATTTTGCTAAATAGTTGCCATAAAAATAAAAATCAATGAACTCTGAAACATAAAATCATCTCAAATCGCGTTTTTTTTTAATTGTACAAATTAATAAGGCTTTAAATTAAAAGGCTTTTTAATTAAAAGGCTTTATTTAATTTATTTTAATCTTGATTATTTTTTATTCATCCATTTAAATTACTTTCCTTGAATACATTAATGTCTAATTTAACACTGAACCTTTTTTTTTTTTTTTTTACGTGGGGGAAATGCCTACGCATACCCGCCCTCGAGGAGGCAAGAGCGGGTTATGTCGGACTCGCACCGACTAAAACCCCCACGATGTTACACCTAGGGGCATATCGGCACAGTCACGGGAACGCCTTCGCACACTTCCGCAACCCTGCCAGCGCTGGCCGCCTTACCAGCCCCCTCACGGAGAGCAACTCCCCTCTCCTCCAGATAAGGCATGCTGGAACATTCAGCGCGCCTTCCTACTCGGCCCCATTTTCATGGCCAACAAACTCCCCTGAGTTCACTGACGAGAAGGCCATGGGAGCCAGGAGAGCCAGTGCCAATAAGCGGCAAGCCTCCCGGCCCCCAGCGGCGGACCTGGTCTGTAGCTCCGCCGCTCACCACGTTTCGGCCGCGGAGGAAAGGGAGAACGGCGCACCGCAATACCGACACTCCTCTCCCCCCGCGGCCCCACCACAGCTGCATCAGCGGTGCAGCCACGCCGAGTCGCGGAGGATAGGGAGCACGGCCAACGTAATACCGATACTCCTCTTCCCCCGCGACTCCTCCTCGGTAGCAGAAGACAGGGAGAGTGGCTCCACCTCTACCACCCTCGACCTGTCCCCTGCACCCTCCAGCACGTATCCAGAGTAGGCTCATTGAGCCCACTCAGAGTGGCCCTCTCGGGCCGGCCTTACACCACAAGCCGGCCCAGTGTGGGTTCCTCTTAGCTTCGCCGTGGGGGACCAAGCCACGGCTACTAAGCCCTTCCGCCACGTCAAGGCGGGAACCCGGTCGGAGGGGAATTTAACACTGACCCTAACCTAACCGTTCCAAGTCGGGTTTAGTCACTTTTGTGTGGTTTTTAGCGCAAAATGGTTCGGTTAATGTTTTGTCCTTGGGGAACTTTAACATAGCCAATTGCCCGAAAGTTAATTTCGGAATCGGGAGATGATAGACATTGCACTGTGGTTTGCCTCTACACATGGCGCCGTACCTGTTAGCTTTAAAAGTTAAAATATTCTCTTTAAAAATCTAAAAATAACATTGCATTATACTAATTAAGAGTAACAATAAATGTAAACAAAAATTTTCGATCCCTTGTCGTGCCGGAGGCTTGCGCCTTGAGCCTTGCACTATGCCACATGGAAATACGTTGTTATTATAAAACGTTGTCTGGTCTTTTCCAGTGTTGCTTAGTCGCTACTTTGTATGTGTTTTCGTTTGATTTAAAGTAGTCGTCAGCATTATGTCGCACCTTCCTACATACGGTAAAAGAAACTTAGGTGACTCGCTGGGTCGATCATGGAACCTAAGCATTGATCGCCTTAAAGAACCTTTTCTCCACTTTTAACCAGATATGCCCGGAATTTGATCTGGTAGCCGTGGTTTGAGTAATATTCTCCGATGGATCGAGTAACGTCCACGTCCTTGACAACCTAAAACCTAATCCTGACATCCAAGAGCTACCCGAGTGATTATATCCTGGTATCCCAACCTGCATACGGCGAAATAAATGCAAAACACCCTTTTCCTTCCTTTCTTTTGCGTCATCGGGTATAGATGCGAAACCTACACGAGTGATCAGTCGGGCGGCCCCATAAAAAAGCAGGCTGCAACCGCACTCTCTTAAGATTCTCCATCATAATTCCCTGCACATATCCATGAACATTTCCTTTCCTGTCGCCGCTTTCATCCTTAGGACTCCCAGCCCTCTCCGTCTCTAATAATCTAAGACAAGTATAAGTTGGGATCCACATCTATGTACGCAAACACTAAAAAACCGAGCTGTCACCCGATTTCGGGTCAAAGCTGTTCCGACGACTATCGCGGATGGTCGACTCATACATTACTGCCGAAATCGGATGTTGCCGGATTTGCTGTATAGTCTGACTGTGTTGCATACAGAGTGAAGACGCGATTTTAAATATGGAGTATTTGGAAGAAAATTACCTGTGACGGCAAAGGTGATCCCACTGTTTGTCGATTGTCGATTTCTCGTTTGCAGTATTTCGGAGTTGCAGCGGCGAACAACGCTATAGACTATAGACGATGACACTATAGCAATACGCCAGCCTTCTGTGAGGTCGTGAGACTTACTCGGACGGATCTGCCCATTCGTGTAACAGTGGACATTGTATTTGTACACTGTACTGTTTGTAGACATTATTACCCGGTTTAAGAAATTTATTAAAGTAAAATCAAACGGTGGTATTTAAAAAATGACCATCGCTACATGAAATTTATGTTTATTAATTTGATAAATAAAAGATTTAATTCGATTACAATGTAATTGATAACGGTTTAATGAAATAACTTGTAAATATATAAATAAAAAAATGTTATAAAAACTTGTTATTGCTTACCGCGAAGTTGAACGTATTACAACCAACTTCATCATGTCGTTTTTTGGCTGTCGATTCTAGGCATGAGATATACCAGCAACATTCTATACCCGGCCTCAAAGGTACGGGTATCGCCGTATACCCGGTGCTAAAACCCAGTATCAAAATACCTATAGGTATTAGCTATATTCAGGCCTCCTTTTGGAGACTCGATCGAATCAAACGAATTGAACCTTTGGTTGGAATTGGAACATTTAGATGTTTTTTTAGCAATCAGTTATTTGAAATTGAGATTTAATCAGTGTAAAATAAGCTCCATCTTTACTAACATAAAGAACCCTATTACCAAAAAAAGTAATTCAAAATAAATATTACTGTTTAACCTTATTACGCAATTATTTATCTACCTAATTGTCATAGAAATAAAGAATAAATTTATCTCAAGGAATTATTTGGTATCAAATGCCATAGGCGGTCGAGCGCGAACGTTATTAAATACCGCCACCGTCTGACGAGGCGATCCTAGGTCCGCGTACTCGCGAGCGATATCGACAATACCTATCGGGTCCGGAACGGGCCTCTGCCGTACACACCCGTCTGCATACTGATACGTTCATACTGGGTATTTATACCTGTTCCAGTATACAGCGTGTCGTTACCATCGCGACAATAAATGAACATACGTCTAACGCTACTTGCCAATAATCATAAAAAAAATATTAACGTTAAACAAAATCCATAATTAGAAAAAATATATATTTTTCAAACAAACTAATTAAGTAAAAAAGAAACAAAATTTGTAACATCTCGCGTCACAGCGTCGTATTACAAGCCTCTCCTTCTAAAAGTATGTTTTGTCTCTTTTTAATTCATTCAACCCATTCATATGCTTTGTGACCTTTACAAATGAACTTTACGTTACGCTTTTATAGGTAAGGGTGTTCTAAAATTCTTTGTTTTGGAAAATTTTATAACTCTAAATATTGATGTTTAAAGAATCTAAATGTTTAATACAACTTTAAAAAGTTATCCCCTATATGCGTGTTCATTTATTGTCGCGATGGTAATGACACGCTGTATACGCCTCATCTCTAGTCGATTCGTTGCAAAAACATTATACACTCTAGCATAAATTATTAATTATGGTCGGGTTTCGACTGTTGATTGGTAATCTCAGATTATACATACTCTTTTGATGTCAACTCTCACCTGTTTGGTTTATGTATTATGTTTGAATTACTTTAAATTAAATTTGGAATGTTAGTTTTATTTGTTCAGACTGAATTGTGTCATGTTTCATTGATTCCGTTAATATCGTTTGGAGAAGTAACATGTCTAGCTATCTGACATAAATCCTGTGTTTTATATAAGTTCAGTAATGATTACGTTTGGTCCAAAAATAAGTTCAAAATGTTTAAGTTGAAATAAACAGTTTTCCTATCAGTCCTTAAGTGTCTTTTTGGTTTGAGAGCGATCCCATGAGCCACATCCACCATTCAAGATCGACCACTACCACTAAAATATCATTGCGAAACAATATTTTTCTATCGTTTTATGAAATCGATTCACTAAATTGATCTGCCAGTTTCACCTCTCCAGCACCTTTTGTATGAGTTGAGTTGGGGCTTTAAAAAAATACGTACGGAAAAAGGGAAATTGGTGGAACTAAAAGTACCGTAATCATAGTTGACTTAAGACTTGATAAAAAGCCTATTGACTGATTTGAGTTTGACTATGACTTGACAATTTGATTTGACATATTGTTGTGTTGTATTACGTTGCAAAACCAGCTTTTAGGTAAATTGGTAAATTATAAAATGCGCATAACTAAATCAGGAAAGTGTAATGCGCAATAATGTTGTGTCAAATAATTTTAAAGAATTGAAACTGGGGTTGCGACAATTACATGAAACAGTTTCAACAATTTGAAGATAGATGTAAAAGATTTAACCAAACCATGGCACTGCATGGAGAGAGATTTAATTGGACATGATGATTATTTGTCTGCAATAAACATAATTGTTGGATAAAACTATCAATGGTCTGTCACTTTCTGACATACTTTAGTGAAACAAAACTGCTGTTTTGTATTTTCTATGATTTGCTTCATGTGAACAAAATAATCACTAATCATGTGTGGCGTATAACCATCGTTGATGTTATTCCATTTTTTGGTTACTTTTAATTGAAGGATTAATTTCTTTTTTTTTCCTATTTCTAATAAGTCTTATCGTAGTCTTATCTTACACAAAGAATATAATTCTAACAGTGCTCATGTCATGAATATTAATTACTTCAAAGTACAAAAT